TTCCGGGCTCTGCGCACCCTGGATGGCCACAATGGCTAGCGCATGCCGGTCCCGAAAAAAGTCAAGCCCCCTGCTGGTGTGGGACGTGTGTAGTACCCAAGCCCTCTTGTTAACCAATTTACTAACGGCCTAGACGCATTGACAGAGATGTTAGGCCCAATTGTATACAGTTTTGGCCACATTCATCGGCCGCGTGGGCGATTAATTGAGACCTCTGGTTTGGGCTCAGTCTGAGGTGAGTCGAGCCCGGCCTCGACTTCTATCCAAGACCCATTTCGATTCGTCCATACGACTCAGTCCCGATGAAGAAGAGCAGCAAGTGTGCACGCTTCAGCGGGCTTTTTCTCAGCCGACGTTGCAGGGAGATTCAGCGGGGGCGGGTAAATTGGTAAGTAGGGGCTGTACTTCCGTTGTCCCACGCCCATACTCCACCCCAACTCAACACTCCATCCTTCAGATGATGGGAAGCATCAGTTTGTCTTTCGCTCCGGCCGCACTCAGTCTGATGACAGCGCTTCGGTGACAGGCTTCCCAGACCCATATTTCACACATAATTCCCGTTTACTCGTGGCCGTGGCGAGGCCAGTGAGAAAATCACATCGACACCAACCTTATGTCATTTGTGCCGATTCCGTTTGGCAACGCAAACAGGCCATCAATTTGACTCGTTCCGCCATTGCCTTCCGCTCTCAGTTTGCTGCAATTTCCTTTGTCTTCGTTACGCCTGCAATCCCTCTTGGCCCGATAAAGAGCCCAATTAGCCAGGTTGGGTCAAGACCTCTTTCTGTTCTCCATCTCCGGGTGAAACGACATGGCACCGATTGATTTATCAAAGCTTGGTTTTCTGCCTCGCTTCGACACGCAACTTCAAAAAATCAAAGGCTCATTCACCAACCCACATTGGGAATTTGTCAAATTGAATTTTCTTCTTGTGCCTTCATGGTATAACATGAAAAGTCTAAAGGGCAGAGGCTGCATTCACACAATAAACTAAGTTAATTTGTAATATCTTCATGATTAGCTAATCATTTTGGTCCATCCATTCACTCGGACCGGCATGGCGATAGGAGGTCCTGTCAATATAATCCTACCAAAATAGCCCCAGAAGCGAAAATTCCATCTATTCCAAAGAGGTGTATTGTTTACAATCTTAGCACTCTTAACAAAAGCAGCCAGTTGTGCCAGCCTAGACGCCAAATGCCTACCAGAACGTCAAAAAGGCTTGCTTTCAAGATCTAATAAAGATAGACATGGGATTTTGCTTTGGGTCGTCATGGCTACGACTAACTCCACAGTGTTGTCTTACCCACATAGGAGAATTGCCAATGGACGAATTCTAAGGCCAGCCTCATGAAAAGATGGGTGGCGGTTGATCTTCCGCGAAAGTCTGTTAATTTACTCCATCTCAGCCCTTGGTGCAAGCATTATGGCTATTAGGAGACTGGGCCGTTGTCCAACCAACCAAAAATGTACAGAGCAGTTATTTACTCTTTCTTTGTCCCATTTCTCCTCATTTTGGGACAACATATCATAGAGCCGCCATTGACCTTGAGTTCCATCCGGTGATTGATTAACGCCAGTTTTTGAAACCACCTTAAAGCCCATCGGTATAGTGATTATTAATTATCCCTTCAACATTCGTTCTTTAGCCACGACATTCCGACCGAGATGTTTATTATAACAGTGATGATGCCATTTGATTTCTGTTCCTGTCCGGATCCCCCCCAAGAAAGTGCAATTGCCTACAGGAATTAACTATTTTGCCTTCCGCACACGAGTATTCTTATATGTCTACCTGTATTACTTGGCAACAGCATTTATGCCGAAATCCTCCGACTAAATCCTGTGTAAACTATTACTACACATAGCACAATTGCTTTTCGGACAGGCTATTGGTTGGCCTTATCATGTTTGCCACAATGAGCGAAGAATATGATCTTGGGCAGCTAATTTAAGTGCCTGACACCCATTCTTTTTATTTATTTTTTTCAGTCTTGATATACTATGTCTACGACTATTTACGGATTTAAGATTATCCGCCCTCCGTTATGTAGACCAATTAGCTTGATTTAACTTCCAAGTATGCTCCGAAAATGGACCAAATAAACCTTCCAATTGATTTAGTACAACAGCATTAAGTTGAACCTTCCTTGCAATTGTCGCTCTCCAAATGAACACATTTGCTTGTATCAAATGCAAAAGCACCAATAGTTAACCTATTCCAAGATGGAAACGGATAAAATCCTTCCATTGGCGATTTTAATTGTCCAGACACCAAGCACTTGTCACCTATCATTGAAGCTCTATAAATTCGAATATGAATAACAGTAGATTAGTTATCTGACAAATTAAGCCACCTGTAGGACAACCTATATTTTGCTTAGGAGCAGGCTTGTCTTGTTTTGTCGTCTATCGGATAAATGCAACCACACGCCTGCATAATCTGTAGAAAGGTTATGTATCCAGGCCATTTCCTGTCTACAAGCAAAACTGTTTGCCTTCCGACTAATGATAGGAAGGTATGCATAGCGTCGCCTTTGGCCCCTTCTTCTGTTTTCTCGTTATGTCAAACGGCCTGCATACCTTGTGCTGAGAGATTTGCCCGTTTCTATGTCTCTTATATCGCCGCCCCAATACGAATTGGACAGGGAGTACAATTCCGCCGATGTGCATATCAAAAGCCCTTGTTCCAGAGAATGATTCTGAGCATGATGTTGATATAGATTAACTTTTTTTAAATTAACACCTGCACTATCGTGACTTCTCGCATGTTGACTCCACAATCCTCCTTTTTATGTCCTGGATGCAGGTACGAAAGTCACAGTGTAAAAGCTCTTTTCACATTAGCATCCGAAATAGTAGTCCACTTCGTCTTCGCCTTGAAAATGGTCCCTCACGGTTGTGCACATTTTGAGTCATCCAGTCTTGTATTTCAGCTTCAATATCTACCAAATGCGTTTCCGCACTCAAGATTAGTTAATATAAGGACGCCACTAAACAAGATAGTTAATCTAATGGCCTAAGGATTTTCCAACAACTACTGCATTATGTTGACTATTCAACTGATTTAGGCTGTTATTATCTTTTAGGGTGGTTGTTACGCGGAGTATTCACTATTTCTCTCTCTCTCTCTCTCTCTCTCTCTCTCTCTATATATATATATATATATATATATAGATCGTATTTTTCCCGTTAGTTTAGCTCTTGCACATGACGTTATTTTTTGAACTCTATAGTGTCGCCTTAGTTACATGAGGCTTGCCTTATTAATCGATTTACTGTAATTTATAGGAAAACTCGAAATGTATCCAACTCCAGTCTGACAATTTATGCTTTAGTACCACTCCTGAGACATATACTATAATTAAAAGTCCAAAGAATATAATGTTAAATTTGTGTGGATATCGGCTGCATAAAGCTGGTTGGTTGCATATGTGTTCATAATTAATGATGGATGAGCTAAAAAGAATGAAAAGAATGGCCTGTAGACGCTTAATGAAGCTAAGGCTTGTAGTGAGAATTATTAGGGATATATCATTAGGAATTTATTGTCAAATCATCGCTGGAGGGCATCAATATCCCTCTTACTTGTGTTTTAATGCTACGATCCACACCTAAGTTAGGAATTACTAAATCCGATGCGGCCTATTTTGTTGTCTTTGCTGTTAATCACATATTAGTACTTGCTAATAATGAAGATAACTGTTGCTTCCTCCGAAGATAATTCAGCACTTGTATTATCTTGAATCTATCTTTCGCCATTGGCTCAATACTAGGTTGATATTATGTATTTTTTATTCATTTATATTTGAATTTTTCAAGCCCCAACGACCAAATTTCGATCGTCAATTCCAAAATTATAAACCTCTCCAAGTTGCATTAGTATATGCTTATATTAGATACATTTTTAAAATCCTTTTTATTATACATTCTTCTTACATTATACTTACCAATCGCCAACTGGGCTCTTAGCGTTCTTTTTTTCCTAGATATTTTTTTCATCAACGTCATTTTATATTCAAGTTCCATAAATGTTCGCGATTACTTACTCTGGCGTAGCCAGGTGGGCCAAAAGCCAGTGCATTCGAGAAAGTATATTTATATATATATTCGATTTTATCGTTGCATGTGTGCAGACATTCAAGCATTGTGCAAATTCCACTGCAAGGTAACTTCTTTTAGATTTACTTGTTCTTTATTTTCCTATGCCAAAATTTGTACCTTAGGCTTAATTAGGCGATAAGGAAAAGATATTTATGTCAGTTGTTTCCAACATCAATTGAAGATGAACTATAAGGGCGTATTGTAATAAGGATAGTTTAGTTGTCATTTAACTACAATCATCAAATCGTTTAATACACCGATTTTCTCTCGCAGGTTGTAGAAGATAGGCTTCTTTTTTCTACTACGTTACTTCTTGCCAGGAATAAGTGCATATTTAATATCTTGAAAGAGAACATTAGAAGTAAGCAATTTAGAAGAAGCTGTCTCTCATGAAAATCCACATCTGTTACCACTTTCTGACAAGTAGCAGCATTAAAAAACCGACCTCATCTCTTCATATAGTGTTTATTTTCTCTATATAACATCTCATTTAGTCATTCGGAAAGAGCACCATCTTTAGATCGTTCTCGTCATAGCAAAGGAGTAGCGTATTATCACTATTAAAGGAAATGGTATAGGGCAAGAACATAAAACCTGTTTATGCTGAACTCGTTTTGATTCGAAGTTGTTGTAACAACGTATATACGATCCAGCTTGTTTGGATTTTAAGTTCTCCCTATTAAGCTTGATTGATTTCTCTTTTAATGGGATACGAAGGGAAATGTGTTTGGTTTCGTATGGAAGATCCCTCATTGCACTTTCGTCGGCTAACCATCTTGTCAGAAAAGCCCAAATCATCAAACAAAGGACAGTTCTAAAGCATGAACAGACATCACAAGCTAGTCTCAGCGCCCGACACTGAAAGAAGTGTTCTTAATGCATTTTACTCCTCGTTACTAGCACCTCTGTATATGTATCTAGGTGTGCATGTATGACAAAATTTCCATAACCTTCCTCACCTTAGCCAGACGGTCTTCCACAGCACTACTTAGATCACAATACCGGACGAGGTGTTTGCGGCTGTGAGACCTCGGCACAAGCTGAACATTCAGAGAAAAGATTTTGCCCTTGCTAGCGCCTGGGCAAGGATAATCTCGCCTAGTCGCAGATGGTGAGTCGAGGCTGTAGGGAGCGACGTGAGCCAAATTTACAACGACCAGTTGCCAGCTCAGGCATAGTCAGCATCTTCTGAGACCTCTTCTTCCTGGTCGCTCATCATGACTGCGTTGTGATTTAAATTTATCAGAACTTTGCGAAGAAAAGCTGTTTTTTTGCAACTGCACGCACATATGAGCATTCAAGTAGGCTCATTTATATCTTTCTAGATCGAAATATACTAAATGCAGATATTTGGAATCCACCTACAGCACGTATGAGTAAGCCCGTTAGTTTTCATGAAGAAAAATTGGTATTCGGAGAATTTCTTGGTTTATAGTTGCTGATCTCACTTCCATTATGGGGGAAGTGTTTGGCTAAGACATTTGGGGGTCGATCGCTCCAGAAGATGACGACGGATTCCTCTTTATCGGCTGTTTATTGGCTTTACTGGAACATTTACTGACGTTGTCCCCCGATGCAATCCCCTTCTATTCCTGTCAAGATACGCTAAGCTTTCGTCTGACATTTGACGGGCATCATTCGATCAGTATATATTTCTTTAAATTATATTGAAAAAACCAGCTTTCTTCACCCGTTATCTTGAATATTGTTGTAAGAAGGAT